AAAAAAAAAAAAAAAAAACCAAAAAACTTTATGCTTGGTAAAAAATATAAGCAAAATAAAAATGACAAAAGACAAACTGGGAAAATATTTGCAACTTTCATCACAAACAAAAGGCTCTATATATTCTATCCTCCATCTACAAAAAGTTTCTAGAAAAAAAACTTACTCTGAATTTTAAAAAGTGAGCAAAAGATACAAATACATAAAATCACAGAATAAGAAAATCTCAAGGCACGTGGGTGGCCCAGGCAGTTAAGCGTCCAACCCTTGATTTCAGCTCAGGTCATGACCTTGCGCTTTGTGGGACGGAGCCCCGAGTTGGGCTCTGCGCTGACAGTGCAGAGCCTGCTTGGGATTCTCTCTCTCCTTCTCTCTCTGCCCCTCCCCTGCTCACAAGTAAACATTAAAGAAAAAAAGAAAAGAAACACAAATAGCCCTTAAACATACAAAAGGTGCTCAATCTTGCTCGTAAGAGGGACGCAAGCACAATCTGTATTCTAATGCTCCTTCCCACCTGTTCGCTGTGTGCTCACACTGTGTGCACGCGGCTGTGGGGCAGCAGCCGTCGCCTGCGCGCGGGCAGGGACACACGTGCACAAGCCTGTGGGCGGCCGCGGTCACCGCCAGCATCAGCGCAAGCATGCTTACTCCTTAACCGGCACTCCCACTTCCAAAAATCTACCCCCACGTACCCCACAGGAACAGGACATGTTACCCACACACGGCTACTCCTTACAGCACCTGCTGTGACAGCGAGGGGACAGCCCGACCCCCGTCCATAGCCCCCAGCAGGGTGCGGTGCCGCTGGGACGGGACCGGGCCACCTCTCATGCTGCGGCCCTACCCACTCATAGATCGGAGGCCCCAGCAGGCTGCCTCGTGTGATCAGGGGGACACGGATGGGTGACTCTATGTACACGTGTATTTGCTTTGCACTTCCAAGAGGAAACAGGAAGGATAAGCCACAAACTGTGGTTACCTTCGAGAAAGGCATATTTGAACATACGCTACCTGAGAACACTGGCTTCAAAATCATGTTAAGTGCTTTCTTTATATAACTAAAAACTATTAAATCTAAAATAAAACCATGCTGTTAAAAAAAAACCTTATATTTAAATACTTCAGAAGCTTATAATTTACCAGTATCTGCTCTAAATTTTTCTTCCATCTTTTTCTTCAAAATTTCCATTTCTTCTAATAATTCTCTATTTTTGGCTTCGGAATCCTTTAGTTTACTAAAACAAAAAATAAAAAATAGAAGGCTTTAAGTACCCTGAGAACAGATATCTACACGTTGATTCAGTGAGTGTCAAAATGTGAGGGCAGGGGTTAATTTCCAGCGCCTGGGAAAGTGCCGGAACATGGCAGGCTCCCCGCTGCGAACGGAAACACAAATCCACTCTTGGCATGGGTGAGTCCGCTGAGCACGTTACAGAGATTACAGATATTTCAGAATTAGAAACAGACGTGGATTTTCAAAATCATGGTTAATGAAGGTGTATCTGGAGGCCCTCGTGGAGTTTCCGACCCTCCCAGTCTCTTTCCAAAGGAGTCCTCTGTCCTCCGAGGACACACCACCCAGATTACTCAGCCATCAGACCTCCAAACGTCATTCCCACAACCAGTGAGACGGCGGGCTGCATGAGACCACGACCACCGCCTGAGCACAGCTGCTGGGGGGGCGGGCCTTCGTTCCTACGCTTTCCTGCAGGGACAGAGCAGTCAGGCTGCTGCAGTGACCTGGCCAGGAGGCGAGCGGTGCAGTCCAGCAGCTGAGTGGGGGTTCTGCGCCGAATTAGCAGGTGATGCTGGCTGACCTACACCTCTCTGCATCTCGCTGTCCTCATCTGTGAAATGGGGCTCAAGAGTGCTGGCCTCCTGGGAACACCGCGACAGTCACGCGATTAATAGGATCGACCTCTTACAGGGAGCCCACCTAAACGGTAGCCATCGCTACTCTTACTCTTTTAGCGCCAAACTAACAAGATGTGTGACTCGGTAATGCCATCAGTGACCCTGTTCGTGACATCCAGGTCCCCACCTTCCACATCAACAGCTACTACAGGTAGGGCGGCCTGGGTTTTACAAGAGAGCAGTTCACGACCATCTCCTGGGCGTGTAAGACTGCCAGCGGCGGCCTCTCATCAAACATTCACTGAATTTACTGTTGTGTAAAAATGGTGTTTGAGGGTCAGAAAAATGTTTTGAGATAGGCATACCGTCTTCAACCTGTATTTACAATATTAGTTTTAGTTTAAAAGGGAAAACTCGAAGTTGATGAAACAAACAGCACTTAGGGAACAAGCAGGCCAGAACTGTCCCTCAGACGTGTGGCCGTGTCTTGTCACCCGGCACAGGGAGGACCAGCATCTGCCTCTTACACACACAGATGTTGGCACTTCAAAACCGCGGGCTCCCATCGCTTCACTGCTTCCTGAGAAAATAAGCACAGACCTCCGATGCGCGCAGGGCATTTGCACATCCACCCCATCGATTCTCACTGAGCGCCTACTAGGGGCCAGAAACGGTCCACCGTGCAAAGCTCCTTCCAGTCAACTGATATCACAGAGCAGGGGTGTGCCCAAGGTCACACAGTCCCCTATCGAGTCAGAACACAGTACCAGGTACCTTTCAAAGGAGAGATTCGCGTCTTTGACTTTCCTCAGCTCCTCTTGAACAAGCTGTTTGGCCCGGATCTCCGCCTCAAGAGCAGATTGCAACTCTAGCCGTGCAGACATGTCTAGCTTCTGACTACGGCGCACTTTCCAAAGGGGGTCCTGGAGACAATGGTTCAGATATTAAAGATATATACATATATATATATACTTTTTTTTAAATTTTTTAACATTGATCTATTTTTGAAAGACAGGAATAGTGCAAGCAGGGGAGGGGCAGAGGGCAAGGGAGACACAGAATCTGAAGGTTCCAGCCTCTGAGCTGTCAGCACAGAGCCTGATGTGGGGCTCGAATCCATAAACTGTGAGATCATGACCTAAGATGAAGTCAGCTTAACTAACTGAACCACCCAAGCGCTCTAAGATATTATTTATTGACTTTATTTATTTATTTATTGAGAGAGAGAACATGTGTATGCATGTGAGCCGGGGAGAAGAGAGGGAAGGAGACAGAGGGTCTGAAGCAGGCTCTACACTGAAAGATAGCCTGATGCGGGGCTCAAACTCATGAACCGTGAGATCATGACCTGAGCTGATGCTTAACTGAGTCACCCAGGCACTCATAAAGATACATATGTTTCTACATTTTTTTTTAACATTTATTCATTTTTGAGAGACAGAGAGAAAGAGCATGAACAGGGATGGGGCACAGAGAGGAAGACAGAATCCAAAGCAGGCTCCAGGCTCTGAGCTGTCGGCACAGAGCCTCATGTGGGGCTCGAACTCACGAACCGTGAGACCATGACCTGAGCCACCCAGGTGCCCCTTTAAAGATATATTTTTAATGGGGCGCCTGGGTGGCGCAGTCGGTTAAGCGTCCGACTTCAGCCAGGTCACGATCTCGCGGTCCGTGAGTTCGAGCCCCGCGTCGGGCTCTGGGCTGATGGCTCAGAGCCTGGAGCCTGTTTCCGATTCTGTGTCTCCCTCTCTCTCTGCCCCTCCCCCGTTCATGCTCTGTCTCTCTCTGTCCCCCAAATAAAAAATAAACGTTGAAAAAAAAAAAATTAAAAAAAAAAGATATATTTTTAAGATATTTACTTGTTTAAAAAAATGTTGACATATAATTCATCTTCTTCTAATCTTAAACTTTTATTTATTTATTTATTTATTTATTTATTTTTTTAACGTTTATTTATTTTTGAGACAGAGAGAGACAGAGCATGAACAGGGGAGGGGCAGAGAGAAAGGGAGACACAGAATCGGAAGCAGGCTCCAGGCTCTGAGCCATCAGCCCAGAGCCCGACGCGGGGCTCGAACTCACGGACCGTGAGATCATGACCTGAGCTGAAGTCGGAGGCTTAACCGACTGAGCCACCCAGGCGCCCCTAATCTTAAACTTTTATTACCACGTTTAAATACTAACTTAATTAACTTAAATATTAATTTGATAATGTTAGATATCATCAAAGTCCATCAGACCCAATTTTAGTCTGGGCTTTTTATGACTTTTATTCTTTATTAGAGATCTTCAAAAGAATGAGCTGCAGCTTAAAAAAATTTCTTTTTAAAGAATAAAACTCAACCAGGAGTGCAATTTCTATTTGGGTCCGTTAGACTCTCTTACAAACGTATGATATATTGTGGGGGTCTCCGTTGTCTTACTCTTCCTTTATCTTGAAACATCTCCTATTTCACTATCCGAGCAATTATGTCATTACTCATCAATCATCCCTGCCCACAATGGAAGACTGAAGCGGCAGGAAGAGCGAGGATGGAGGGCTCGGCAGGGTGAGGTTAACAGTGACCGAGACCAGCTGGGTGGCAGCGTGCTCCCTTCTCCCACCGAGATGCTGCCCGTGTTCCATCCGCTCTCGAGAGGGACAGAAGGAATCTGGAGATTCCACTTTATTAGACTTTTTTAAAAGCTTTCAGTCCACACAGTTGAGAATTTTTCGTTTTCCGTCCATAAAGAGAAGAAAAGGGAACTGACTAGGGGTTTGCAGGGACAGAGAAACGGGCGCTTTATTGGACGCCAACGACTGTGATGAACCCAGTGAATGTCAGAAGCCTGAGTCTTCAGATGACCATGGCCCACACGGATTTCCTCAAGAATCAACGAGTGAACAATACACTTCTACGGACAGGAAGGAAATACACTTTCATCAGTCAGTCCTTCAACAGGAAGGACTGTTCACACAGAATTCTGCAACAAGAATATCAATCATCCCATTTTGCTAAAAGGACCTAGGGCTATATTCTTTCATCTTTCATAAGGTTTATGCTCTAGGTTTATTTAACACAGTTCACAAGCGCGAGTATACCCGTAGATATGACTGGAAGACAAAACGCAGAAATGAAAAAAACTTGATCGTCTGAACTGGTACTTCTAAATCTAAAATCAAAAAATGAATATGTTCTCCAATTACAGAGCGAAGAACACAGCTGTATTCTTCGACAAGATGGTATATGTGCCGGGTGCTCAGGTGACAGGATGAGGAGGAGTAATGACATTCGACATAACAACACCCCTTTGGGGCAAACACATCTTCAAACCAGCAAAACAGGGAATAAAAATCTGGGTTTGTGAAGTTCTAACTAAAACGCTAATGAAACAGTTCCCCTACACCTTTATTATTACTAGTGTTCGTCACTTACAGAATAACTTACACACACATATTGTAAGAAAGGCAGACAGAAGGAGGGACACGTGGGGCTGCGCCCAGAAGTGAGCCTGGGTGGAGACGGCTCGCCAAACTCTGGGCACTCGAAACACACGGACCACTGACTGGGGGGGGGAGGGGGGGTCGGGGTGGGAGTGAGAGAATGGACAAAATCCATCTCCTTGAGGGCAGGAGCCCGTCGCGCGAACCGAGGTCCCTCCACAGAGTGGCTGTGGTCTCCCAGTAGTTCAGACAGCGGCGCTCTGCACCTGGGGGGCGTCCCTGGCCACACGGAGGCCCGCATCACCCGAGTTACTTGCCCAGCACTGAGTTTCTACACTCGTGTTCAAGGTAAAGCCACTGGGGAGTCCCATCATCATAAAAAGACACGGTTCAGAACAAAGCCTACCAGTGCTCTCGACCCCAGACTGGAGCTCCTCAGTGTCTCGAGCTCTTCGGTCATCTTGGAAGCAAGAGCCTGAAGGTAACCTCGGGCGTCTTTCTCGTCACTGACCCTAGAGAAGGACCATAGAGACCCAGTGAGAGGAGCCGAAAACGAGGACAGGTTCCTGCCCCCCGTGGGACAAAGTGACATAGCGTCCCATCAGCCGGAGCGGTCGCCCACGACCAACGAACGGCTCCGCTAGCAAGGGCCACCCCGGTCCCTCTCTGCCGTGTTGCGCGGGGGCCCGGCCTCCCTTTCGCTAGAACGTGTGGGGTGTGCCAGCCTGACCCACGCCTCCAGGGACCTGGTGCACTTTCTCCACCTATAGTCCAATGTGAAGAACACCGGACAGAACTGCGGCCCCTCGACAGCGGCGATTCGGGAGAGGGCGGCGGGTCCGTGCCGAGGCCTCTGGGCAGCGGCGCGGGTGGAGGGAGCGCGAGCAGTGTGGCAGGGCTGGGGAGGGGCGGGCGGGCACACGTACCACTGAATGATCTCTGCGATCTGGGCTTCCCAGTGGGCCACCGACTCCTTCTTGGCCGCCAGGTCCTGTAGTTCATCCTCCAGCTGTCTATTTTGAGCTGTGAGTTTATCCACAAAGGAACAAAGCTGAAATTAAACAATTGTACCACATAACTCGTTATTTGGTGTCCTTTAAACGTGACCTTAGCGTTATTAAAGCTACACGTTCTTTGGAAGATTTTGAAAGTTTTCTTAAATCGTTGTGAGATTTCGCTCCAAACTTCATCTCAGATACGGACTTTTCAAATGTGTCTAACTTTGGTCACATTTCAACCCAAATCTGAACAGACAAGTGACAAGAGCAGGGGATTTCAGGAAATTAGCAGCTTCTAACCCAATGGAAACGTGTTACTTCACGTAGGAAGCAAGCTGCGTAAACCACCCGACTCCCAGGACCCGCGACCGGGAACCAGAGCCCCGAGCGGTGGCATGGACTAGATTACCCGCTCGTTCTCAGCTGTCAGCTTCTTGTTTTCCTCAAACAGCATCGCCCTTTCGCGCTCGTATTTGTCTCTTATCGTGCCGACTGCTTCCTCCATTTCGGCGTGCCTGGGAAGGGGCGAGAGCGGCGGTCCAGAAGCTCTGTGAGCCAATCCTCTCGGTGGCGGGGGCACAAGCCCGCGCTCACAGCACCGAAGGGCACGTGAAAACCTACCGTTCTCGCTTTGACTTTTCCAATTTGTCTTTCAGCATGAGAACTTCCTTCTGCAGGGCCAGCTGGTGGCTTTCCGAATCGTGTACCTCCTTTTTCACATTTTTTACTTCCAGCACATGGGAGGCCTCACGCCTGACCAACTCCTCTTCATAGAACAGGACTTTCTTCTCAAGTTCAGATTTGATTTTGGAAATCTCCTGCTGATGTTCTAAGGTGGCCCCCGGGCCCCGGCCTCCTTGCTTCATCTGAAGAGAAAGGTAAAATAAATTACAGGTCCGTGTCTTCCCCTCGAGGGCCACACGGCCCTCCACCCACACCCTCTGCGGGCACCGTACACGCGGCTTCTCCTGTCCCCTCCCCACCAATGGCAGACACCGCGCCCGATGCAGCTGGCCACGGCCGCGAGATCCTTCTAACAACCGTCGGGCAGATCTGAGGGGCTGACGGCACCTACCTTGCACAAGGGACGTGCCCAGATCTGCCTAGGACCCCGGAAGCTCTGTCTACACCCTGACACGATCGGTCCCCAAAGCCTCCTCACAGTTTGTTAATTCAGGCAACTATGTGTCAGGCACCTTTGTGGTTAAGAGGGTCACATCGAGGTCCCTGCTCTCGTGGGGCAGACAGGGAAAGACCGACGGCCAAGCAGCAAATGAGCAACGAGACACTGACACAGGGCAACGCGGTGAAGCGTGGGGGTGTGGTGCCCAGCGGACAGTTAAAGGAGCCGCTGACGCAGGGACACGTGAAGTGCCACATCAGGCGGAAGGTTCTTCAGCACGGTGACAAACAGCAAGGTGAACGCAGTGAGCTGGGCGGTAAACGCTGGGAGGGGCTCTGTCAGGGCCCGAGTCACTGGGAGCTGCTGGGGGCACTGACGACAGGACGCGCCCTGGTTGCCGTGGGGGGGGTGGGGTGGGGGGGGTGGTGGACTGTCAGCACCAGCGGCGACGAGCAGACTCAGGCACCAGCAGGCAGAAGTCCAGGCCCCGGGGCTGCCGCCCACAGGCCCAGACGGCAGCAAGGACGATGGAGGGAAAACAGGCCCGCCCGAGGTACATGCTGGGGAGAGAGCGGGCCTATCGTCTCCACCGGCAGATGAGGAAACCCAGGCTCAGAAAGGGGACTCGTGCCCCTGAGGTCACGCCAGGCTAACAAAGAGCCCCCCTCCCCCACCTCCTCACCCCTGTTCTGGCCCCTGGCACCTCTCTGCTCGCTCGCTCGCTCACTCCCTCCCGAGGTGCCTGGCTGCCCTTGGCCCCGGGCCACTGGCCTGTCTTCAACTTCAGTGGCAGGACACGGGCTTTAAGGAACTTTTTCAGAAACGGTCTCACTGAACACACAGCAGGTGTCAGGTGTTAGTTTACCAGGACTTACGAGACACTGCCTGACACTTTAAGGAAGGAAAACAGCGAAGGAACTCAGGTTCTAAACGGAAAGAAGGCTGTCATTAAGGCACGTTTGTGACCTGTCCCCTCTCCACACCCCGTCCTTCCGGACAAGCCCACCGTGCGGGAGGACTCCCAGCACGACAGTTAGGAAGGAGGACGGGCTGGTCTCCTACAGGTACTACCTTGAGGGCCTCGAGCTCACTCTCCACTTGCTTGGAGAAGTTCTCGCTGTGCTCGCGAAGCTTGCGCTCCCGGGAGGCCTCGGCGACGGTGTCCTCCAGGCGGGCTTCCAGCTGCAAGGGGGGCACAGTGCTCACCAGCACGAAGCCGGCCCTGCCCTGGGGCTCTCTGCGGACGGCCCTGAGGGCCTGTTGCTCCTACCTCCGCACCCGATCCCAGGCCCAGTTAACGGCGGAGAAAGACACTTTAAGGCTCGACTGGAACAGCTGGTTAGTAATAAACCAAGTTTAAATTCTAATGTAAACCAACAACTTGGCATTAAGTTTCCGGACAGGAGACGGACTGGTGACACAGGCAATTGGGATGTCTGCAGATCACAAATCCATCTATCGACTGGTGAAGGTCACGCGCACGTGCCCAAGCAGGGAGCAGCGGAAAGGACCCCCTGCACCTCGGCCGGCTGAGTGCCCTCTCCCTTTACTTTAAAGCAGATCCCAGATGCTGCAGTGACCTGCCCGGAGTGTGGACACTAATGCTTCGCTAGGGGTTCCACTGATGCTATAGCTACAAATGCATCTGGGTTGCAAAATAAACGGAAAAAAAACAAGTAGGTGTTTTGACACCGACTGACAAAGAGCATGTACTTATAGAGCATCCGATTTTTTACCAAGCAAGTTGTAACAGAATTCAATCCTAAGGGCTGCTTAAAATATGACACTCGTTAATGGAAAAGTATTTGGAGTGTCTAGGGCAGCCAGTTCTCAAAGCGGGGTCCTGGGGCCCTTTCTAAAAAAGACCCTTCTTTTTTTAATTATCTGGGTTTTCTTCAAATACTTTATCCAAAACAGTGTAACACAACAGAACGAATGCAGAAATAGTTTATCAAGCCAGTTATTAAAGAAAAGCACAAAAATGTAAAAATGCCATTCTTCTCACCAGATGGGGGAAGGGAGTTACTTTTCACAAAAACTGTCAGTTAACACGTAACGGGTTTACTGTTGAACTGAAAAAAGTGTTTTAACCTCTAACCTGGTAAGTATGAGGAGCTGTAACCGCCACAAACGAAAGCTCTTTGGGGGCCTCAACAGTTCTTAAGAGCATGATGTAGTCCCGAAACCAAAGTTTCAGAGCCACTGGGCTGACTGGGGGCGCCAGGCTGAGCCTGGTCGTCCTCCTGGCCGCCCCTTATGGACGTAGGACTCGTATTCACGTAGGCTGTGCTGTGCCAACTACGTCCCGACACGTTTACGTTCTGTTTGTTGGGCAGAAATACCCTCTATTTGCTTTAAAAGGGAATTTTTAAAAACTAATGCCCTAAGAAATGTCTTTTAATAATTTCACCAATAGGTATCGGGGGCTGAGAAGTACAAAGGAAATATTTGGCAGGTCAACTTACTTGGCTTCTCATAAAATTTAAGATCCGTTTTAAAGTAACTCATGTAATTTAGCCCACGTTCTCGAAGGTGTTCTAGTAGGAGCATACAAAAGCCCGAACAGTACAATCCCCGAAACGGCCACGAAGCTACCTCTTTCCTCAACTTCTCCGACTTGCGGATTTCCTGCCGCATGGAGTCGATCTTCTGCATGGCTACCTCTACCTCTTCCTCTTTGTCCCGCAGCTGCCGGGATGCCTTTTGCTTCTGGGAGCGGAGTTCTGCCATGCGCTCGTTCAGCTCGGAGAACTCCTGCAGGGCCAGCTTGCGTTGCTGGTGGGCGTCTTTGAGCTCTCTGGCCTGGGACTTCAATCGCTCGGAAGCTTCAATCAGTTGCTGAACAGAAAGAATGACAGAGGTTTTACGTTTGCTTCGCAGAGACGCGGAAGGCTGGCCGTTCAATCCTCTCCAGCAAATGCTGCTTACAGGCCACGGCCGAGAGCCAAGGGCTCACCTCTGTGAAAAAGCCCTTTGCTAGGCCCCAGCACAGCTACGAGCAGCCTGGAAGAAGACCCACCTGAGCAGAGGTGCTAAGATCGAACTCCCTCCGGGAAAGACCCCCAATTACGCGGCGACCAGAAGCCCGAGCTCTGCCAGCCAGAGGGAAGGCCTGCTCACAGCACAGGCTCACGTGTTTCGACCTCTCCCCTATGCCGTCCACAAGGCCATAAAGGTGGACGGAGCGTGAATGTGGTCACCAACCCAGTTATTGAAACAGCAGAACTGGGAAAGAACACGTTACGTACAAAAAAGCTTAAGAGTTCCATCAAAGTAAAGAACCACATAAAAACGACTGTTGGACAGCTAGCCCCTCACGAGAGTGAGGTTATGGTGGCCCCCCTGGCTGCACCCGTGGCCTCCCCTTCCTGCAGCCAATTCGTCTACGACTGGGTGGCACAGTCACGGTGGCCCCTATTGGTCTGATGTCGGAAGTAGCTGGATCTGGGGGGAAGGGGGGACTCCACCAGGGCCGGCCCAGGCTCAGTGAGCTGCTGAACCTACACTAGCGTACCAGGGAGTCTCCTGTCCCCTGTGCACTTCTCGACAAAGCGCCGTGGTTAGGACACCACGACAGACTGAACAATCTGGGTCTGAAATCCTGCACGTTTTAGAGAACACATAGCAAACTGCAGGTTTAATGACTTAAGTGTATAAACGAATGTACGTTAGAAAACAATCCTGGTATGAACACTACCGACCGAACATACAATCTGATACATTTTACTGAAAATCAAATTTATAAAGGGGTTTTGGGGGGACTCACCCAAATTTTAACAAACGGTTTCTTTTGCAAGGCCCTGTCATACAAAGAGCCCCTGCTGAAAGAAGGGGAGGAGGCCGCTGGAAGGGGGAGGACTCTGGCACCGGATACCAGCGTGTGAACCCAGCTGGGTCAGCTGCTGTGGGGACGCGGGGACCCTCAGGCCCTGGGCATCGCCGGGTCCTGGTGCACAGCCCGCCCAGCAGGCCTGTGGCGAGGACCGATGCGGTGACCGGTGCTGAGGCCGCCCGCTTCACGGCCAGCCACCTGGCAGGCTGCGTGGTCGGCGGCACGGCATGACCCTGAGGCAGTCTGGCCCCTCGTGGACTGCACGCAACACAGCCCAGGGCGCAGACGAGGGTCCTGAGGAGGGCTCAGAGCCCCACACAACTTCAAGGTCGCAACTGCACGTCGCTGAAACCCGTCTCACGTGAAATCACCCCCAACTACCTTGTGAAAATCCTCCTTTTCTTGCCGCACCACGCGGTACTGCTTCTCCAGGCCTTTCAGCCGCTGTGTGGAATCCTCATGCTCCTGGCGAAGGGTCACTGTGTCCTCCAGCTGTCGCTCGAGCCTATTGGAGTCTGAACAGAGAGAAAATAAACCGCGTTCCCTTACAGGAAAAACTTCATGTCGGCTGACTTCCTGATAGTGAATTCGTTACGGATTCTTCACTCACTTTATCGCTTAATAACCTTCTTGCTTTCTCACACATGGAAAAGTCATGTATGCAGCCACCCGTGTGGACTGACGGGGTAATCGCTCTCCCCTGGGGACCGGGGACCGCGTGAGCCCGTGTGCGCGGGCACAGGGCAACCGAGGTGCGCAGTAAGGCTTATCATGGGCTCACTCGGGGCCCCTCTCAGCACCAGGATGCTGGGGTTCCAGAGAGAAAATGGAGGGCTGAGGATTAAGACTCGAAAGCGATTTGAATCTTCAGGAAGCTTTGATAATCTAGGAGCCGCAAAGGACAGATGGTGACGACGGAGCCAGCCCCTAAAATACTGCAAACGGCAGGCACAGCCACTGAGGACGCTTCGGAGAGAAATACGCTGTGGCACTGGTGCCTCAGGGCCACCAAGGGGAGAATGGGACAGAGAAATGTAAACCTTTCTGAGACTTTACGGGTAAAATGCTAAGAAGTGATTCTAGCTGCAACTGTAAAAGTCTCTCATTTGTGGGCCAAGCAAGTTGGAGAGAGAACGTCAGGTGAACGGACGGAAAGAAACGGGAGACCTGTAAATAGGTTACAGAAGCCAACGCTGTTCTCCTTTTCCACCCTACGAAAAGGACTCTGAAAATCTTCTTGGACGGGATTAACGCCCAGGAACACAGACGAAGCAGCCTCTTTAAGACACCTACCTGCTATTTTATTCTTCAGACGCTCTATCTCCTCATTTAGCTTTTTGATTTCCTTATCGCGGGCTGAGCCGCCCAGGGCCCGGGTGGAGCCGTGCAGGGACTGCACCGTCTGGGTGGACTCTACGGCAGGGAGACAGGCGTGAGGGAAGGGGACAG